TATTATTTCCTTCACAATTACGGTATAACTAATAACAATAAGGATGCGACCGTTCGCTCCCCGATTTCCCCGTGACTGGCGAGACGGCGCATTCCAAGCCATTATATATTATATCATAACTAGTGCATGGTATGCAAACCTGTAGTAGTGTGTCCCTACACGTTTATCCGTGCATCTAGTACACCATTCTCAATTCTTAATATAAACGAAGTTGAAGGTATAATGAGTAAACTAAAGATGTTATATCCTAGTAATGAAATACTTAATATAGAATTTAGGAATGTTTATGAGGTAATTAAATTAGGTTATTTTTATATACATAAAGAAATAGTAATAGTAATAAAGGTTCCTATAAGCTACGACTAAGCATGGAAATGATTGCTACTTTTAAATCATTATCATATGATAAAATTACGTATATTTTTCACGTGATTTCACCTGCTACTTTTCACAGGCAATGATTTTGCATTTCGACGGTCTGGTGTCACACTTTATACACTCGCCGGCATATTTAGCGGAACACAAAAAAAAGGTTCATTATTAAAAAAATATGGTTTTATTTTAAAATCTACTTACTACACTTCTTTTGTTATTTAAAGTTTCATTTGTTTTACTTAAAATGAGATCACATTAAAAACAGATTTTGCGATTAAAGGCTATTTGTGAAAAATTGTACATTTTTGAACTTTTCATATAACCGGGAAAAGTGAAAATTAATATTAAAATAACAATTAATTAAATTAGAAAAATGGTGATTAATATCGCGTATTTCCTCCACGTGCTCTTATTAAAGTTTCTACCCGTCTAGGCATACTGAGAATGATGTTATCGATGGTCTCCTGGTATAGTCTTCGCCATTCCTCAACTACGGTGATTCGCAGTTTACCCACGTTGGCAGGAGCTGGAATTCTGGACTTAAATTTTCTTTTCAGCAAGTCCCAAACGTGCTCTATTGGGTTCATATCTGGTGATCTCGCCGGCCACTCCATAACAGTGATATTCATATCATTAAGATAAGCTTGAGTTACCCGAGCGGTATGCGGCCGAGCATTATCCTGCATAAAAACAAAACCGTTACCGATATATGGGGCAAACGGTACGACATTTTCTTCTAAAACTTCTCTGATATAGCGGTCTACAGTCAGACTCTCTCTGTCAATCACTACCAAGTCTGTGCGAGCTCCCAAACAAATGCCCGCCCAAACCATTATTAATCCACCACCGTATGCAACTGTAGTTTCAAAGTTTATCTGAATGTATCGTTCTCCTTTGCGTCTGTATATTCTTTGCCTGCCGTCAATTTGATTTAAGAGAATTCTACACTCATCACTAAACAATACCTTACTCCATTGGTCCGCGTTCCAAAGTCGATGTTCCTGAGCAAAAGTTAACCTGTTTCTACGATGATTTACCTCGAGCCTTGGAGCCTTGGCGGGCACAAATGATCCCAAACCAGCTTCTTCGAACCTTCTTCGTACCGTACGCTCACTTACGGTTACACCCCGCACTGCTTCTAACTCATGTCGGGCTTGGAAGGCTGTCAAACGGGGGTTCCTACGTACACGAAGCCGAATGAAACGGTCATCCCTACTCGAAGGGCGTCTTTTTCTGCCTTGTCCTGCTTTTCTCACATAAGTACCGGTCTCCCTGAACCATTGGATACTGCGATGGATCGTTGAAACTGGTCGACGAAGATCTCTGGATATCACTCTGTAGGTTTGACCATTTCTTCGCATTTCGAGTGCCCTGGCAATCTCCGTTGGGTCTAAGTCAGGCTTAATTCAGTCCTCAACTCCAAAAAGATACGCGATTAAAAAAAACTAACAAAAAACAGTATTTCAATGAAATTTTAAATCAAACTCAGAAGGAAGAAATACTCGAAGTTCGCTCCAAATAAGGTGTATTTGAATAAAATTAAAACAATTGCATAAAATGTGATGTTCAGTTGTTTTCTTAATTTGAAAATATTTCTTTTTAAATTAAATGAAGTATAAACCAGCCAGCAACCTTATTTGATACTGATATCAAACCTTTATTTTATGTTCCGCTAAATATGCCGGTGTGTTTATTATTTGCTATTAAAATGAAGTATGAAATGTCACCAATGTTATTTATACCTAATTATAACGAAAACAGAAAACTTAACTAAATTGTTATATTTACACTAACTAGTAACTACTATCTATATTTATTTAAATAAAATTACAACGAAAACACAAAACTTAAGTAAATTGGTATATTAAATATTTACACTAACTATTACAATGTATGTAGTATCGCAATCCCCCAAGCCACCAAGCTGTGATTTGTAGCAGTCACTGTGAATTTAAGTAGCAGGTGTGACGTGTGATAGCGCATTTCATGTGATTTTTCACTTGCTACTCGTGAAATGTTCCATGCCTAGCTACGACTTCTATAAATTGTATCATGTACCCCATAAAAAACTTTTTAACAAAAAAATAAAAACCGACTTCAAACAAAAGCACTAAAAAGTAAAAAATAACTGATTGGTAGTTTTCATTTACTATACATACCTAATCAAATATTTTCGAAGTCGGTGTGCTTTGGACAAGTAATTAAAGCCTACCTATTAAACACATACCTAATCAACTATTTTCGAAATCGGTGCCAGCCCATACAAAGCAAAGCACACCGACTTCGAAAATATTTGATTAGGTATGTATAGTAAATGAAAACTACCAATCAGTTATTTTTCACTTTTTAGTGCTTTTGTTTGAAGTCGGTTTTTATTTTTTTGTTAAAAAGTTTTTATTTTTCCCTTTTTAGTGCAGACAGTAGTAGCAAAGTAAGAATTCTAACGTGTTAGGCTTGTCAAAACAAACAAAATAAGCCCAAACTCAAAGTATCTACTATTAGCCGTTGAAGAGTTCCACCTATCCACCTTCTGGCCTTACCATCAGATCAGGTCAACAACACCAAACCACTGTACTATCAACGGAAATGGAAACACTTGCAAAGTTTCAAGTCAATATGACAATTAGAAGTAGGTTAAATTCATCATTAGCTATTTTTCCACCCTTAGGAGTGGTATTTTTTATTGAAATTTAAATGGGACCAATCTGGAAGTATACACTTTCAAACAAAACAAAAATTGTCAAAATCGGTTAATAAATGACGAAGTTCTGAGGTAACAAACATAAAAAAAAAAAAAAAAAAAACAAAAAAAAAATACAGTCGAATTGAGAACCTCCTCCTTTTTTGAAATCGGTTGAAAATGATGAAACCCTGATTCCGCCCTCTCCATTCATAGCACTCTCTAGTAAAGACTATAGGTACATAGAGGCAGAATGCTCGAAGATAAATTCACTATTCCTCTGCGAGTCGAAACCCAACATAAAGATCCAGGACAAACCCGACTGTGTCCATCAGTTCATTGTTCTTCAGGAACTCCAGCCTTTCTGTAAACTTACACCGGTAACTCTAAACTAATGAATTCTTAGAAGTATTAGATGACAGACACTACACCCTGAGCTTTCCTGTGCCAACGAAAGTAAAAACATCTTGCGGACAAGAAGAATATCAAATACTACAAGGCAGTTACCTAGCAGTTATCCCATTGAACTGCAACTTGAGAATACCCACATTTACCATCTTCAACTCGAATGATCATATCAAGGGACACGTCATAAGAGTAATGGAAATGCCCCCAACCAACGAAGTAAGATCTAAAGGACATCCGAAGCTTACCCTCACCTCTCAGAATCTACAAAACTTTAACCAATGAGATAGTAACCCAGTCCTCCGTCCAACTAGACAACTTCACCGATCCAGTTATATACATTACATAAGCACAAGTCAAGGGCATAAGTGCACTCACCGCCACACTACTGTACCGCCGGATGCGCGTGAGAAACAGAACCGATGAAAACGAAGAAACCCGAAGCAACAGTATTAAAACCAGTAGTACCGATCCCAACCAAGTAAGAGTCGATCCCAGATGCCTACCAGCAACCATTTCGGATAAATCCTCCAATAGTCGCTGTACTACGGGGGAAGGTGTTACGCAAAGCCAAACCACCGCATAAGTATCAAATCTCATGTACAGACGACGAGACGACGTGCCGGTCGCAGGCGCTAGCGCAAGTGCAAGCGCAACAAGTCACGTACATACACCTAGCCAAATACAGTAACTTCCTATGAGAAATAAAGTATATAAGAGCATTATTTGATTCTTAACTTCACTTTTGATCTAACATCGATCGACAGTCATTTTAGTAATAAGAACTTCTAGTTGATAAATTAATTTTTAGTTAAATTGCATTTCTTTGCATCCCCTGGCTGCCTACAAAACATAACTAATGCAATAATAAATGGAACAAAAACAGGCTTTGATAAATTATTATTTATTACGTAAAAAGTAGCATCGTTGCTACGTTCCTACCAATAAAACAAGTCATGCAAGTTAAATGGAACGCGCGCGTCCATCTCAGGACATGAATGGGGTGAAGTGTGGAGCAGTGGAGAGGGGAGAGTGTAGCGAAGCTCATCGCGCGTTGCGCGGGTGATGAATACCTCCGCCATTTTGTTTAGTCAGTCTGCCATAAGTATTCGACGCGCCAGCGCGGGCGGCGTGAACGTGAGGAGAGTTATATGTAGTGTTTGGTGACGCTCTTTATAGGTTAATTAAAAAAAAATAATTTTGTTATTCAATAAAACGTAACTTACAGTTTTAGCTTGTTGTTCTAGGATTCTAATGTAACTAATCCAATTATTTGATATATTAACGTTATGTCGTCCGCCACTCGTCGCGCTATTTTTATGTTTTTTTAGATGTATTTGAACTTTTTTTTGGTATTTATATCCGATTTTTATTGGTAATATTTTAATGTAATACTAGCGCTAACTAACCATGAATAGGTACGACCTCGCAGCCGTTGCCTGCAAGCATTACATCGTGAAAAAATACGATTGCTATTATTATAACAAAACTAAGTTTCCTTTCAGATGAATCCCCTTCGTTGACCATAAATCAATGAGATATGGATTTTCGCGTAGTAACTAGTAAGGAAGGAGACAACACATCTGTTTGGCACTATTTTCTCAGGAACAAAAACAAAAATGAAGCTAAATGTAAAACATGCCAAAAAGTATTGAAATCAGCCGGTGGTAGTACTAGCAGTCTACTAAGACATTTAAAGAATATTCACACGGTTAATATAGAGGCTGCAAGGCATTCAACAATCGAAATAACAGCTCAAGGTAGTGCATCTTCTTCAAAAGAAATTCTAGAAGCGCCAAAAAAGAAAACTAAGTTGACACACCATTTTGAGACTGATGCAAGCCCAAGTACGCAAGTTATGGTGTCTCGTATGGCTGCAGTTGATGGAATTCCTCTTAGAACGTTCTCAAAATCTCAAGATTTATAATACCTTTTTGAAAAGACCGGCAACAAATTACCCACTACTGCTGATACCGTTCGCAACATAATTGTCAAAGACTTTGATAAAAGGAAGCTAGAAATAATCAACTAGTTTTTTTACGTTCATTTTACATAAGAAGAAATTCTAATAATTCAGTTCTGATTTGTTATTTTTATGTTACGTTACAATATAGCCAAAATGGTATTAGTTATTATTTTATATGAATATCTCTTTTTTTCTAAAGTGGTCAGATGGTCAGAGGGTATGTCTTAACTATGTTGTTTAAGTAATGTGTCAAATGCATAACTACTTTTTACTTAGTGTAGTGTTTGTATCTATTAAGTAGATATAATACATTGTCTCATGTACACCGAGAGAGGGTGTAACTGTCAACGTCATCCGACCAGTCAGTCTGTCATAGACGCGGTGCGAGTTGGACGTGCGTTTGCGCCTGGATCTGGGTGTAGTGGTGAGCCAGTGCCAATAAACTTATACATAGTAAGGTTTCCTTGTGTGGTAAGGATCACTACAAGTGGCGACGAGGATAAAGGTCAGTGTGTAAACAAAATACCTAAAAAAAAAAAGAAAGGTAGGTGACAGTGTAAAGTTGCCGAGTTTCTCCAGAGTGTACTGAAGGTTTAGACAAGTGGCAAATGCTCCATATTGATTCTCTTTTGACAAACGTTAATGCCTTGGCAATATCCATAATAACTTGGTAGCCAAACGTACAAGTACTTGTCGAACGCTCAGTCTATTTGATCGTTCGACAACAACCGAAAGTAGTGTATGGTTTTGTTTGTAAACGTCATTTTGATATTGTGGATGTTTGATAATGCGTGTGCCCTAAATTTAAACGAGCAACACATAGGATTTTAGAATTTCTTTATTAAAAGTTCACTAAGTTATAAGGATTATTTCGCCTACCAATATTTGCTAGAATACCAATAATATGTATTTGTCAGAAATAACAACGGTTACCATGGTGACGATTAGTCGTAGTAGTTTTTATTTAATTTATGCACATTAATCTCAAAGTAATGATTATCCATTTTTAATTTTTATACATAAGTAATAACTAATAAGTTTATTTTTTTATCAAGTTTAAAAGTTATTTTACATTCATTAACATATTATACAATTTACATTACATTAAACGGAAAGAATATGATGTTATATTTTTGTCTGATAATAACAATGGTTACCATGGCAACAATGTACATATTTGTGACGTTATCTACAAGGTGCTAGCGTTCCATAGGTGTCGTACGCTAGCAGCCGAATTCGTTTGTCAAAAGTGCCATATATCTTCAATTTCTACGGAGTTATATAAATGAGTTTTAATGTATTTACGTTTTATCCTAATAATACATGCTAACGTGATAATGGAGCATACGTTCTGTTATAGTAAATAATAATTATAGGTAATAGTATACCTACTTAATCTTCTCGTTCGATTTTATATTAATATTACTGTATCTGTGTTGTTGAAAAAGTACCTAGTACAATTTTATTAAAATTAATTGATTTTCATTTAATTGAAAATATTTTATCATAATGTGATTTCCATTAAATTGGAAATATTAAGATAAAAAAATAAATATACAAGTATTACAATTTTATTAAAATTAACTGATTTTAATTTAATTGAAAATATTATATTAAAATGTGATTTCCATTAAATTGGCAATAAAAAAAAAGAAAAGTATTTTACATTAAATTCAAAATAAAATTTAATATTGGACTTTCATTCAATTGGAAGTATTCTCATGTTACTTGATAAGTAATTCATTAAATTGAATTTAAGGCTCCTTGAGACCTTGGACTTCTTTTAAATAAGAGGTACTGAATGTATGCAAATGCTTGCATGCGTTAAAAGTATTGAGATCTATAGAATGAAAGGTTTCTTGTCGTCCATTAAATTGGATGTATTTTCAGGTTGCCCCATTACGATCAAAAATGGCAAGTCAACTACCGCCACCTGAAAAATTTGATATTGAAGGTGACAGTACGTCAGTCGGCCTGAAGTGGAAAAATTGGAAGCGGTCTCTTCTTATTTATTTCGAAGCCGCCGATATTACGACTCCAGCAAAACAGAGAGCTACACTGTTAGTCCTAGGTGGAAGTGCACTGCAAGAGATATTTTATAATTTGCCTGGCGCAAATGTAGAATCAGAAAGAGGTGTGAATGTTTTTGAAGTAGCCATCAGTAAACTGGATGAATATTTCCTTCCTAAGCAAAACACGACTTTTGAACGACATGTTTTCCGGCTAATACAACAAGATGAAGGTGAAAGTTTCGAAAAATTTCTTATTAAGCTTAGGGGACAGGCAGCAAGGTGTAAATTCGATAAACCTGACCATATAATTGACCAGATCTTAGAAAAATCTTTATCGTCGGAGTTGAGGAAGAAAATGTTAACCATGGGTGATGACATTACCTTAGACAAAGTTATTACGACCGCTACTACCTTAGAAATTGTGAATTACAAATTAGATAATTACGAACAAAAAGACAAGAATAAGACAAATGAAGTTAATGCAATAATAAGTAAACAAGCAAATAAGAATAATTTTAGATGGAAGAAACAAGAAAATGGGCCGAATAAAGAGGAAAGGATACCGAAGTGTACAAGATGTGGGAATTCAAGACATATGTTCCAAGGCTTGCCTTGCCCAGCAAAGGACAAAAAATGTAATGGCTGTGGAAAATTGGGCCATTTCCAACGATGTTGCAAAACTAAATCATTTCAGCAGAAACGTAAGCTTGCGCAAAATCAAGAAAGTGAACGAAAATCCAACAAGCGGTATCGTAAAGAAACTACTGTAAATTCTTTGGAGGATGAAGAAGTGCAATATATATTTAATTTGAACGACGACGCTACTATAAAATGTGAGATAGGGGGAGTGAATTTAGAAATGCTAATTGATTCAGGATGCAAGTTAAATTTAGTATCTTATAAAACATGGGAATATTTAAAGAAAAACAAGGTGGTTTGTAAAAAGTGAAAGAACCAAAGAAAATACTAATAGCATATGGTAGTAAGACACCGTTGCAGATTAAAGGTTCTTTTGAGGCAGTAATTAAAGCAAATGCTAAAGCAGAGTTCGCTACTATTTACGTTATAGAAGAAGGATCCCGGAATCTACTGGGTAAAGATACTGCATTGCGTTTGGGTGTTCTTAAACTGGGCGTGGGCGTTAATCATGTAGAACAAGAATCGAATAAACCTTTTCCAAAATTTAGAGATATTTTAATTGAGATACCTATTGACTCTTCAGTTAAACCCGTTATCCAACCCTACCGGAGAATACCAATACCATTGGAAGAAAAGATAAGTAAGAAAATCCAAGAATTATTAGACCTAGACATAATAGAAGAGGTTCATGAACCTTCACCATGGATTTCTCCTATAGTTCCAATTCTAAAGGATAATGGTGATGTACGCCTATGCGTTGATATGCGACGTGCCAATGGAGCTATCCTAAGGGAAAACCATCCATTACCGTGCATGGATAATTTATTACCAAAGATAAAGAAAGCACGATATTTTTCGAAATAAGATATCAAAAACGCGTTTCATCAAGTAGAATTACACCCGGACTCAAGATATTTGACCACTTTTATTACATCCAACGGCCTTTACAGATACAAAAGACTTATGTTTGGAGTCACATGTGCTCCGGAACTTTTCCAAAAGATCATGGAGAAAATGCTATTAAAGTGCGAAGGAGTTACCAATTTTATCGATGACATATTGGTTTGGGGAAGCAATGAAGAAGAACACGATTTGCGACTTACCGAGGTGATGAAGGTGTTGGAAGAAAATGATGTTTTATTAAATCAAGAGAAATGTATTTACAAAGTACAGGAAATACATTTTTTGGGACATGAATTAAAACCAGAAGGAGTGAAACCGCTGCCAAAATACGTGAAGAGTATAACTGAATTTAGAGTACCAAAAACAATAGAGGAATTACAAAGCTTTTTAGGATTAGTAAACTACATTAACAAATGGATTCCAAATTTAGCCACGACAACAGAACCTTTAAAACAAATACTGAGACAGAAACTAGGAAAGAAATCTAATATTGAAGAATACTGGAAAGACGATCATAATGAAGCATTTGAAAAGTTAAAAAGAATGTTATCTAAAATAGAAACTTTGGGATATTATGATATAAACGACAAGACACAGGTAATAGCAGACGCAAGTCCGGTAGGACTAGGAGCGGTTTTAGTACAGATTGATAGTAAGAGACCAAGGGTTATAGCATATGGTAATCGGACACTCAGTCAATGTGAAAGAAAATATAGCCAGACAGAAAAGGAGGCCCTTGCGCTAGTATGGGTTATCGAACATTTTAATATTTTCTTATTAGGTAAAGAATTTGAATTGATAACGGATCACAAGCCATTAGAGTTCCTGTTTAGTCCAAGATCAAAACCATGCGCTCGAGTCGAAAGATGGGTTTTGCGTCTTCAGGCGTATCGTTATAATATAAAATATAAACCAGGTAAAACGAATATTGCAGACCCTTTATCAAGGCTATGTATAGATTTCGAGCAGCCAATTCATTCATCAGAAGAGAATTATGTTCATCAAATAGTTGAACTCGCGAGACCGTGTGCAATATCGATGCAACAGATAATAAAAGAATCCGAAAGCGACCAAGAAATCATCAATGTTAAAAAAGGAATTTACAGTCACCAGTGGGACGAGTCCGTAAAATCATATAAAATATTTTCGGACGAATTGTGTTTTTATGAGAATGTTTTGTTAAGAGGAAACAGGATAGTTATTCCACGGGACTTTAAAAAGCAGGTTTTACTAGCAGCTCATGAGGGTCATCCAGGTGTGGTTGCAATGAAGAGTCGTCTTCGTACTAAAGTTTGGTGGCCAAGAATTGATAAAGATGTCGAGTCAAATCTCATGTACAGACGACGAGACGACGTGCCGGTCGCAGGCGCTAGCGCAAGTGCAAGCGCAACAAGTCACGTACAT